CCGTTTCACTAGACATTAGCTGTATTATTAGCTAGTAATTCAACTGTTATGAGACACATGGTTGCTTTCTATAACGGGCAATAAGTGATGGCTTCCAATCAGAACATTGATTGTAAAAAAATTTTTAATAATAATATTCTACCACATTTACACAACGGCATCTAGTCCCAAACTAAGCAGAGCTTGTACTATGGGTACTAGACAACTGATATAAATATATTTATAGTTTTTTTTGTAAATTCATACATATTATACATAGAAACATCCGGACCAAATCAAACATTAAAATGTTTACTCAAGGCACACAAATGTGTGACTTGAGTGGGAATCGAACTCGCGACGTTTGACAGCCCGACACACAAACTACTACGCCATCCGGCGATCTATAATGAGCAAATTATCAACCGATATTAAAATTACTAAACTAACTGTTGTGCCAGATTAAAAATACGGAAGGTCACCACCCCTATTCATTCCGTGGGTGTCGTAAGAGCCGACTAAGGGAGCAAACTAAGCAGGAAAACCACTGAAAAGAGAAGAAAAACTTGAGACAAATCCTATACTAACCCATCTGGCCAGCGTGGTATAGTAGGTTAAAATCTCATTTCAAAGGGAGGCCTTTATCTAGCAGTGGACTTCTGAAGGCTGTTGATAATGATGACGATGATGATATTATAAGCAAAATAGCGGGTAAACGTTAGTATGTTTATAAAGAGTTATTAATAATGTTTTATAATTATTCCCTGCTTAGTATTCCCTGCATGAGCATTGGAAAATGATGCTACATTAATGAAGTTCTGGGCTCATCTGTCCCGGTGCAGATATGGATGTTATGCGAAATATTGGAATCATACAAATTAAATTACTGCATGCCATTGTAGAAAATTGGTTTGTACTGTATATTTGTATGTTTTAAATTGGGTGTTCAATATGAAACGACCACGATTTAGATAATTTTGTCGATTTTAGCATATCATAAGCAAACTTGAGAGAACGCTCGACATGCAATGGTATGGCTACATTGTTTGTGTTGGAAAGATGGCCAAGGATTGCCAAATTTCTTGAGGAGGGGTCCTCAGGGTTCATCAGGTACACCTAAGCCGCTTGCTTGCTACTAACTTGTGACCATGGTTGTTTCCACATGATGAAAAATCGTTTTAAACGTTTCTCAATGTTTTGATATCTTTATAATAGAAAATTGATTAAATTTGTTGTGAGGTATTATGTAAAGAAAAGGCAAAGAAGAATTTTACCCGCAATCGAGAAAACCAAGTACAGAAGAATTGTGTATGCGATCCCAACCTGGTCAACCTATTGTTAACACTCCCTAATGCATCGAAATAATCAATATCCTTTTTTCTACTTTAAGTACCTTCTCTACCTACCTTCTCTTTCATTGTTATTATAATATTACTGTTCCCATATATCCTAAGGTGCTCTTTTGACGGTAAAGCCTTGTCTCCTATCCAAATTGGGACTAAAATTAAAGTTGGCATATAAACTTCTGACCACTCCTTCAGAGTTAAACGTGAATATATGTAAAGAAACTGAATAATATTTTATAATTCACAAAGCCTCTTATCTGAATTAAAAAAGATGTATGGCCTAAAATTGTTAAAATTCTGTCTTCCAGCTATATTTAACCTGCTCTTGACTTATAGTAGCTAACGCCAAAAATCCATTCGGTCACAATTTCCTGTTTGTGAGTGAATCTCTCAGGGCTCTGTTATGAAGAATGAATGGACATTGAATACTGTTATAGCCTAGGATTCTGTTGTTAGCTTTCAAAATATAAATCTTAAACACGTACTATTTATTTTTATGAAATATAACTTACGACAGAATAAGAAAACCTTGCCTGTGAAAAGACACAACCAATACAAGTCCTTACATATTATTAAATGAGGTACTCCGGCCGCGTCTGTCAAAATTAAAAAACTATCGATGTACATATTTTTGTACGGCATACCACCAACAGATAGTGTAGTTCCTGAGGAAAGTTTAGGTGTATAATTAATGACAGTTTTACGTAAATTGACTGAAATATAACGATCATTGTTGAATCTTATGCTTTATAAACCGGGCGAAAAAAGTTCCAAAATTCACGCGGGTGAAGCTACAGGTGGAAGCTAGTTTATACTAAATAATAATTAGTACCTGGATACAAGAATTGCTCTTTTAAAGGTATTAGATTAAAGATAGATTAGATTTTAAAAAACTTCTCTTTTAACTATTTTTTTTTTATATAAGCTGATTTTAGGGACAAAAAATTAAGCAACTACAGAAACATTCTGCAATTGCGTTTTTAACAGTTGATATCTTATAAGTCTAGCTAAAAATTTACAAAACAAAAGGAATAATTATATTTTCACACATCTCACACACGGCCGTATGATCCCAAACTAGGCAGAGCCTGTACTATGGTAACCAGACTGCTAATAAACACACTTATATATATTTCTAAATACATACATATTATAGATAAAGTATACCTAGACACAGAACAAATGATCGTGCTCATCACACAATTATTTGTCCGGGGTGGGAATCGAACCCAGTACCTATGGCGTAGCCGTCAGGGTCACAAACAACTAGACCAACAGGCCAGTCATCATTAATTGTTTAGTTTTCACCGAGTGAGTGAGGTCACCTAAAATCCTCCCTTACTGAATTCGGGGGCAAACTCAAAGCTCGAAAAAGCAGTTGTGGCAGTCACTTACCATCAGATGACCCGTCTGCACGTTTGACCCCCTACACTAGGGATTCTCTAATTCGGTTTCTCAGGGGTCGACATAAACGAAAACTGATATTGGGGGTCGACAAGGTCTAAAAATCGACGCCTCTTAATTAAAACAAGTTCTCATTTGAAACTTTCAAGATACTGTATTAGTTATATTACGTGTACCAATTTGTTATAAGACTGACTAATATTTTAGTAGGAAGTATAATTGTTGTACTTTAAAAAAAACCCAACAAGTCGATAAGCGTGTAGTAATTTGGCTATGGGTGTCTAAGGTATCAATTCATCTTAGAAGAGACCCCCTCTTACCCAAAATAGTTTGGGAATCTCTGCCACAAACCATGGAAAAGAAAAAAAAACTAACTTACAATATTCTGTAATGAGACCAAATGCCAGTATATCTGAGAAAATATTTATGCATATCAAATCAAGCAAATTTATAAGTTAAACCCTCCGTCCCCTCCCATCCTAACAAACCCGAACTTTGTACAGTAACACGATAACTTTGTTGGTACAGTTTCCGTAAAACTCACTTACAGAGTTATTCTCTTAACTTGTTGAAACCACACTCCAAAGGCATAATAAATTTACACAAATTTGTCACACATCACATCACATCAACAGCCTTTAATAGTCCACTGTTGGACATAAGCCTCTCCTCAGAAAGGAGGTTTTGGCCTACTATACCACGCTGGCCAGACGGGTTGGTATAGGGTTTGTGTCAAGTTTTGCTACTGTCTGCAGTACTGTTGTTCTGCGTAGTTTTTTCTCTTAGTCGGCTCTTACGACACCCACGGGATGAATAGGGGTGGTGACACTCTGTATTCTTAATGAAGTTGCATTCTATGTGACGTAAAATGATTAATTTGACAGAAATTTGTATTTTCAGATATTGCTCGTTTGTGTAGTGCATAAATAATCTTTCAAATAATTATAACCAATTTAAAATTTAAGCACGCTTGATGTTTCATGTTTTGACAGCCTCGGTGGCGCAGTGGTAACTCAACTCACCTCAAACTTTCTTTAAGTCAGTCAATCTAGCTTTCATAGTACAAGCTCTGCTTAGTTTGAAACTAGACTGGCGTTGTGTCAGATGTCCGAAAATATTGACCTAAAGGTTGACTTTGAGAAAATGCCTTGGGCATTAAGTTCGCCGATGTACAAATGTGATAAAGTTATAAATAAATAAATAATCAAAACTGCGTACTGGCTCCAATTATTTATTTATTTAATTTTGGTCCCATTTATGTAATAGGGAGGAAACGTACATATGAATTAGAGGCTAGTGGCTAGTGGCAAAGTTAAGCAACCTTAGCCAGGTCAGTCTATGGATTGGTGATCATTCTTAACGCATTGAGACTCCGTCGTGCCTCGGAGAGCGCGTTAAGCCGTCGGTCCCGGTTGACATACGAAAATCTGTGGCAATCGTTATGGATAATTGGAGCCCTACCTCAAAGCCGCGGGTTCGATTCCCGCGAAATAAACCATTGATGTGCATGAACCTTTAAATTTTTGAAAAAAGATTTTTTATCAGTTGTCTAGTACCCATAGTACAAGCTCTGCTTAATTTGGTAATAGATGCGAATGATGTAGAATATTATTATTATATTGTATTCGAACTGGTTGTTACTGGAAAGTCACTAAGACGCTGATATACAGCGTTGTGTTGTAACAGTTTAAGCCGAATTTGATAAATTAAACTATCAATTTTCAACAATAGAGCAATACAATCAAATAAGTAATCATGGTTTAGTGTTGGGTGTTCTAAACATATATGTGTGTGTATCTTAGTATGTGAATACACGATCGCGAAGATACACATACGTATACATATACAAACCCATCATTATCATCAACAGCCTTTAATAGTCCACTGCTGGACATAGGCCTCTCCTTAGAAAAGAGGTTTTGGCCTACTATACCACGCTGACCAGACGGGATGGTATAGGGTTTGTGTCAAGTTTTCCTTCTCTTTGCAGTGTTGTTGTCGTGCGTAGTTTGCTCCCTTAGTCGGCTCTTACGACACCCACGGGATGAACGGGGGTGGTGACAATCCGTATTCTTAATCCGTTCCCACAAACCCAAACGATATAAAAAGGGTTTGTGGGAATTGCGAGGTTACGACATTCTTAAAATAAAATTGATTTATCCAATTCTGCTTTATGAGATTGAAGCTAACCAATGGTTAGTAAGTACCGTTAAATATTACATTTCCATATACATATCTACCAATCAGCCAATGCTCTGCAATATTGAAACAATGTGTCGGGTCCCAAATCAATTTGGGAAAAGGGTGAGAAGACTATGACACTCCTATATATTTATTATGTCCGCAGTAATAAAGGTGTATTGAATTCAATTGGATTCGGTCGGTCTTTTTATCTTTTTCGTTACGCCTGTTACTCTATTATTTAGCGATCCTGGCTGCCAATTCTTGGTCTTGGAGTCTATTTCCACCCAGGAAAAAAAATGTGTGATTATCATGATTATATCTTGTTGCTGGGTGGTGAAATTTATCGAAAATATAACTATATTTACAGAAGTACATAAGTGTTTACAAACATACATGAAACGGACAGAAAGAACACCCAGACTCAGAACAACAATTTGTGGATCATCGTCCCATGTGGGGATCGGACCCACAACACTCAGCGTGGTAGGGAGCGGCGTGGCGACCGCTTAAACCACTGATGTAAACACATACTCATTACATCGAGAGCATCTCCCTAACCCATTGATATAACATGTTTCACACGCCTGTGACCCAAAGCCCTACTTTCACTGTGATACTCATAGTGGATTAAATTACCACCCAAGGCACAAGAGAAAGCGACTTATACTTTCCAATACATAATATAGGTTTAATTGCTTATCAATCGTACTAACTGACGTTTGAAAGTGCTGTACCAAGGCCAACTCAATAAAAAAAGCAATAGTTTGATCACGGTGAAAATAATTATGGAAAAAATCAAAACTTTAACTCATGAAAAAAATCAAAACTTTAAACATGATTTGTTTTGTTAATGAATGTGGATTTAAATTAATTTATTTTGGAAAAGAGACAGCAACGTTGTGAAACATTTAATATTCTTAATTTGTGGATCATTTGAGACGTATTTTTGGGAAAATTAAAGAAATGAGTTAGCGATCAGGTTAAATTATGAAAACAATAATAAAAAATATTTTTTTGGTGAAAGTAGTATAAAAATCAAATTGAATTCCTCATCAATAAATTATCGTATTGATGAGAGCTTGTACATCTGATATAAATAAATGTATATTTTTTGTAAATAAATACATTTTATACATAGAAACAACCAGACAAACTCAAACATTAAATGTTTATGCATACATTTTTTTTTACTTGAGCTGCAATCGAACCCGCAACCGTTGCGTTAAACGGCAGTACGCACGCGTATACGAGACGCATTTATAGCGACGGTATTCGCTTACCATCAGGTGAACCGTCTGCCTGTATCCTTTAAATTCCATAAAGAAAAAACAAAGCTTTAACTTTGCTTATTCGACTGCCTCGGCGGTGCAGTGGTAGCGTATGGGATTGTTGGGTGGGCTGAGGTCTCAGGTTTCATGCCCAGGTCGGACGTAATGTTTGTATGATCTGCAAATATTTCTTTCGGAGTCATGGTGTTTTCTGTATATAATATATATTTGTATTTACAAAAAAAGTGTATAAGTATTGTATCAGTCAATCTAGCTTTCGTAGTACAAACTCTACTTAGTTTGAAACTAGATGGCGTACATCTTTCTTTCTAAACATCACAATGAATTTAAATCAAACCAACATACAACGAAATGATCAAAAAAAAAATTCAATCAGGTCATCTGACAAAGAAAACAAACTTTGATTGTGTTATTCAAAGATGAGCAAATTGTCTACATATAACGATATTTCCAGAGACAAAATTTCCATAGTAAATTGAGGCTTCGTGAATGTCATATCCGACGGGATTGAGTCGACCTCGTCCGACTTGTAGTTTGATTTTGTAGGAAATAATTTATTGTCCAGAGATTGAAACTTGATTTATAATATTTTATAGAAAATAGGTTTAGTTAATTAGATTTGATAGGCCAAACGAGCAGACGAGTCACTTCTACTACTACTACAACTACCTCCGCAGATGGACACCTGCAACTCAAAAATCACAAGTGCGTTGATGCGCTTGGAGTCCCTCCCGCTGACTCGAGCGGGGGGATTTGGGCTCTGGTAACCTCATTCACTCAGTGAAAGGCAACGAAAGAATTGCTTAACACCGGTTTTCTTGTGATGGCTAGACTATTCTTTAGCGTAGTTTCAATAGTACTAAAAAGAGAGAACTCTTCAGGAAATATAAAATTATCTTAAATTTACAGATCATTCCCATCAAATTCTGCTTTATTTAATGCGATCAGTAAGTAAAATATAACTTTTGTAGAAGAAGTATTTTTGGCCGGGTCGCAATGGCCATAGTTTCAAACTAACTGCACTGACTAACTGGTAAATTCAAAATTAATATATTTTTAATTGTCCTTCTAAATATTGCAATAAGTTTAAAAGGATTTAGATAGATATGTAATAGAGTTGACAATTAATTAGCAGAAGCAATTAAAATAACATAAGTCAATATTCAGACCTTAATTCATAAATTTAGTTTAAAATTCTAAAAAAAAGTGCCTCTAACACTCCCGTTTCATGTGACGTTTAAGATCTGAGTGGCCATATTTTAATCAACAGCCTTTAGTAGTCCACTGCTGGACATAGGTCTCTCCTTAAAAATAAGTTTTGGCTTGCTATTCCACGCTGCCCAGATATGTTGGTATAGGGTTTGTTTCAAGTTTTCCTTCTCTTTGCAGTGCTGTTGTCCTGCGTAGTTTACTCCGTCCCTTGGCTCTTACCTCTCCCACGGGCTGAATACGGGTGGTGACACTCCGCATTCTTAATTCGCCAACACATTGAATATTTTAAACTATTCCCTTACCATATTTTAATCTATAGATTTATAACTATAGACCTAAATGCCAACTGCATATAAATGCATAAAATAAAACCCGCTGTGATTCCATTACACTAATTGTGTCAATTAGTACATACATTATAGGAACTAGGTTACACAGCAGTGATCTCACAATAGTAGCAATTTGTAACCTACATTGATATACTAGCGATGTAGGTTATAGTTTTTTATTTAATTCTATGGTAACATTGCTATCTGAACCTATTAAAAATAATTTTTTTTTGAGTCTCACATCCTCCATTATTATGGGGCAGTTAAGGGCCAAAAATTCAACTTTCACCGTTTCCCTTAGGTCTGTGTTGGAATATAATTTTAGTCTCACATAATAGGTAGAGAACATTCTAAATAAATACTCGTAGATATAATATCTACGAGTATTTAATTAGAATGTATATAACAGCCAGACACGGTACAAATGTTCGTACTCATCACACAATAATTGTCCTACGCTGGAATATAACCCACCACTTAACGGACAGGCCAGTCAGACGACAGCCCAATCACGTACATGTTCAAAACATTCAATTTTTTTTTTTTTTTTTTTAATTAAAAAAGACAACGCCCGCATTAGGAATAAATCCTGTGTCGCGGGGGACTTTACAAACATACATGAAACGGACACAAAGAACACCCAGACTCAGAACAACAATTTGTAGATCACACAAAGTGTCGTCCCATGTGGGGTTTGAACCCACAACACTCAGCGTAGTAGAAAGCGGCGTGGCGACCGCTTAAACCACTACGCCATCCGTGCAGTTGCATTCCTTTTTTTTAAAGGGGTATAGAATATTCTTCTAATAGACTCACCAGCCCTATAAATATCCAGGCCTTTCTATTAGATCGTAAATATCATCGACAGCCTTTACTAGTCCACTGCTGGACATAGGCCTCTCCTTAGAAAGGAGGTTTTGGCCTACTACACCACGCTGGCCAGACGGGTTGGTATAGGGTTTGTGTCAAGTTTTCCTTCTCTCTGCAGTGCTGTTGTCCTGCGTAGTTTGCTCCCTTAGTCGCCTTTTATGACACCCACGGGATGAATAGGGGTGGTGACACTCTGTATTCTTTATCCGTCACCACACGTACATATAGTTCAGTATATTAGTTTTATGCAAATTTTTGGCTGTGTGTGCATTAATAATTGTATGTTTGTGATTGTTCAGACTTGTGTACCTCTGTGTAAAATTTTTGCTACAAAAACATAATTCTGCTGCAATAGAAGTTCGACTAGGTAAGGTACAATTTGGCAGTAGACAAATATTCGATTGAATTCTATTTTTCAGTTTGTTTTGTACTTTTCCACATCTTAGAATTTCATAAACTTAACTAGGTAACAATAATTAAGAGTTGGGTAATATTTATTTTGCTTATAAATACCTGATAGTTATGATTTTAGTTTTTATTTAGTCAGGAAGATACACATTTTAGATGTACATAGTTCGAAAAACTTTTCTAAGCAACGTCATTAGCCACCATTTTATCAAATTTGAGGAAGATTCCTTATTTATTCACGAATCATTGACGATTCAATAAAATCATTTACACTTCATCAACTTTATGTGAAACTTTTTTGGTTATTCACAGTTTATTTTAAAAGCTAGAGTTTAAATAAAGCGAATTTTCTAAGAGTTTGGAATCTGTAAAAATTATCAATATTTTTGAGTTGCATTTGTTCCACTAATGAGTGGGCAGATTACCAGCAAACGATAAGTTTCAAAGATTTATTATTTACAGCGTAGTAGTAGGCCAAAACCTCCTTTCTAAGGAGAGGCCTAGGTCCAGCAGTAACCTACTAAAGGCTATTGAGACCTATGTACACTACGAGTATACGTATGTACCTTTGATCGGTCTCATTTTATTAAAATAAAAAAAATATATAAAATTTATTTCACAACCAAGAACGAAGAAGAAAGAAAAGAAGAATTTAAAGGGGCGTTCATGAATTACTTGCGGCTTTTAGAGGAAGGAGATGGCTGGTCTCAATCTTAGCAAATGTTATATAATAACGGACCTTTTAATACATTAACCAATATAAAAGTCACTTTTGTCAGCCCTCGTACCTAAGTCTTTGTTTGTGGCTCTTATTAAGTTTCAATTTGAATATTTTAGTTTTCAAATTTTTACTGTAATTCTAAACAAAATTATGTTTTAAACTATTTATTTTAAGCTAGGGAATAGCCGGAAATTAAAATTACCAGTTGATTGTTAAAATCGCCGTTTTGTTTTGTAACGGTTACAGGTTTAGACTTTCTGCCAATAATAAATTTAGAGTAACCCTTCTTCCTCCTAGTCTTTTTAAAGTACTGTCCGGGGCACGGAAGGTTCTTAAAGTGTTAGGAATGTGCTTAACTTTGCAATGTGTTTACACACTCGGTCACCAATTAACTACGAGCCACAAATTTAGAGTAACCGAATTTCGGCAATACTTTGAATAGGTCAGGGTCGTATTTCATTGTTGAGACGCATTGTCTAAGTCAAAAATAAAAAGATCTCTCAGCACAACCCTTATTTAAATTACGCTTACTTTGTTACAGACACCTGAAGAAGCACTTAAGCGAGGTTTAACGAATAAATGTGTAGCAAGAGAGACATCGTCGTGTATTGCCATCGAGCTGGTCGGCTATGTAGACAGGATGCTCAGGACAGCGTCCTTCCAGCTAGGCGAGGATATCATGATCGTTGATGAAAGGTAATTTTAAGTTATTCTTAGTTACAAAATGTTATTATATAGTATAAAGATGGTTACGGATTAATAATACGAAGTGTCACCACCCCTATTCATCCCGTGGGTGTCGCAAAAAACGACTAAGGGAGCAAACTACGCAGGACAACAGAACTGCAAACAGAAGGACAACTTGACACAAACCCTGTACAAACCGTAAGCCTAAACCTCCTTTTTAAGGAGAGGCCTATGTCCAGCACTGGAATATTAAACGCTATTAATATGTATAAGGCTAATAATATATTAATAATGATTCTTATAAAAAGAATATGCACCTTAAGAACGGAGCCGAGGATCCACAAACGAACCATGTATATTTTTTTTGGTATAGGAGAACAAACGAGCTGACGGGTCACCTGATGCTAAGTAATTACTGTCACACATAGGCACCTGCAAGAGTAACAAGTGCTCCGCCCTTTCCTTCTTCCCCTCCAGAATCTGGGAGGAGAATCACTTGGGCTTCAGTAACCTTGGTCTTGGCTGGATGCGAGAAGCCCAAAATCGATCTAAGTGGCGTGCAATGGGCGAGGCCTATGTCCAGCAGTGGACTGCGATAGGCTGATGATGAACCTTGGTCACTCGGTGAAAAGTAACGAAAGAACTGCTTAATACCGGTTGTCTGTTAGGCCTGTGCCCTGCCATATGGCCCAGTCATTACTTTCTACGTGTCTTATAAAGCCGTAGTCTCTTTCATCGCCAATCTATTGTCATCCACTGATGAACTAAGGACTCCCCCAATGAGCGCCAAGCACCCCGGTCTTGGGTAGTCCAGTCTAATAAAAATCTAGAAGATTACACTAATAATCATAGGCAATACTATTTCTACGATGATATTAATATGACCAATACACTAAAGAATGTATTAAAATGCAGCTGAATTTAGAGACTCAGTTAATAACGCACAGCGTTCTCAATAACAATTTAAAAAAATATCATAATTTTTAATACATGTCTTCTTTTTTGACACTGTAGATTTATAATATTACACGATTTGACACTGACAAATTGAACCTGCAGACAAAGCTGATATTTTGCATGAAAAAGAGGTGTCATGAATCAAATTGTTATGAGTTTTTACTATCAGGGATATTGATGGAATGTATGGCTTTTAAAGAAAACTACTATATTAAATATATATAATTCAACATCATCGTCATCAACGAAACAATCTTTACTAGTCCACTGCTGGACATATTGCTCTCAAAGAAGGTTTTGACCTACTATACCACGCTGGCCAGACGGGATGGTATAGGGTTTGTGTCAAGTTTTCCTTCTCTTTGCAGTGCTGTTGTCTTAGTTTGCTCCCTTAGTCAGCTCTTACACAGGTGAATAGGGGTGGTGATACTGAGTGAGTCCGTCAATACATAGATATAAATTAAAAATTATTACATATGAATATTAATTTTTGAAAAATTTACAACGTGTTTTAATATCAACTTGTCTACTTCACAAAATTTGACCACACCTATCAACAGTACTCGTGCAATAAACATGAGTTACTCTCAGAAGTTGTAATCTGATAAAATACCTAAATAAAACAATGTACACGCCCAAAGCGCCGTCCACATTCCTGAACTTCAAATTACAAAAGAGTAGATGTTGTCAGTTTGCATTGTCGAAGTTAACAACATCGAGGATATTAAATTGAAACCATTTTGAGAAAAGAGTTTTGTAACTTTTCGGGTGTTCCGTAACACTTTTACGGACTTTAACGGTGAAAGGGTCCTCGTTAACGATAGAATAAATTATGTGTGTGCTTAAAACCTTTTTTGAATTTTTTGGAAACATTTTTACAGCTTCCGCTTTCCTTTTACAATGTTTGATGGTACGGTAGCCGATTCTTTTAAAACGGAGCATTTTAATTTAAAATAAAATGGCGTTTGAGTTTTTCATCAAATACCTCTATTTTATTGTTGTGATAGAAAAGAAGGAAAAGCAGCAGAACTACAGAGAGAAGGAAAACTTGACACAAACCCTATACTAACTCGTCTGGCCAGCGTGGTATAGTGGGCCGGAACTTCCTTTCTAAGGAGAGGCCTATGTCCAGCAGTGGACTAGTAAAGGCTGTTGATGATGATGAAATTTTATATTAAACAACTGCATAGACATTTGCAACGGCTTTCGATTGAGTAAGAATTAGAGAGGGGAGGTATTGATCCTCCGGTACCCTCACTGGGTTGATGAAACCCAACTTTGAATTTTTTTACCGTCGGTATCCTGTGAGGCTAATATAACTCTGGTCGAGTAAGCCAAAATGTGCCCAAATATAGCTCATCCGCGATTCCATTGTCTGATTGTAATTTATCCATACTAATATTATAAAGGCGACGGTGTGTTTGTCTATCTGTCTGTCTATCTGTTACCTCTTCACGCTTAAACCGGTAAGCCGATTTATTTGAAATTTGGTATAAAGATAGTTTGAGTCCCTGACATAGGGTAGTTTTTATCCCAGGAATTATCCTTGAAGGTTTAAAATGGGTGGCAGTTTGTATGGGCAATCAATAACCGCTTAACCAATTTAGATATATTTTGGTATTGAGATAGTTTGTCTCTTGAGGAACGACATAGGCTATTATTTACCGCGATTACCGACATACACGCGGGCGGAGCCGCAGGCAAAAGCTAGACTATTTTAAGTTTCTAATTATACGGTAGCAATCTATGTAATACCAAATCTAAAATGTAAAATGAGTATGCTTAAACTATTTTTTACTTCAGCCATGGCGCTGCAGCAGATATACCATCGTCACCAGAAACCTTGGCCAGATCGGGTACAGCACTCGAAGATCAGGCTCAGCAGTTGATTATGAATAAGTTGTGGCATTTCGCAAGCTCCAGGTCTCTACGATACAGGATACTCAAGGATGCAGATCTGGTCATTTCTGGAAAGCAAGAAAAGGATGGAAGCTTAGGAGTTGGTAAGTAGACTTATCAAGAGCTTTTTTGCCAGTAATTGCCCGAACCTAATTAGAGAACAAATTAATGTGAAGGAAAGAAACTGATAAATACTTATAATTATAAATGAGTACAAAAAAAAAAAAAAAAATTACAAAATCTTGATAAAAGTAAATCAGAAACTACCGTAAACTTCATCAGAACTTATAGCAAACTGTTAAATGAGTGCTTCAAACTAAGATCACACAGTAGGAAATTTACATATAAGTATACATATAAGTATGTAAATGTATATACGAGTACATGAAACGGACACAAAGTGATGGGTGTGGGTGTTCTTTGTGTCCGTTTAGCATGTTTGTGAAGTCCCCGCGACAAAGCATAAAATAATAATGCGGGAATTGTATTTTTAAAGAAAATAAAATGTATACCTACTAAAAACTACAGTCAAACGTCAAATTAATTGAATAATTACTTCATATTGTGTTAACCGATTTCTGGAAGAATTTCTTAGGTGCGAATGTAATAGTAAATTTTGGGCATTTGTAAATCGATTTCAATCATTCTTGTTTTTGTGTACCTAAAATTGATCCCATTAAAATTTGAAGAAGATATTCTTACTTTTAAGGTAGAAAATTAAGGCGTTGAAATACAGTTAAATGTAATATTTTTCTTTCACTCGATTTTTTTTCTCTTATCAACAGCCTTTAACAGTCCACTGCTGGACATAAGCCTCTCCTTAGAAAGGAGGTTTTGGCCTACTATACCACGCTGGCCAGACGGGTTGGTATAGGGTTTGTGTCAAGTTTTCCTTCACTTTGCAGTTCTGTTGTCCTGCGTAGTTTGTTCCCTTAGTCGGCTCTTGCGACACCCACAGGATACCCTAATATTCCTAAGTGATCTCATTATTGAGTACATGATCTAAACTTGAAGTACAATTCGACATGGACAAATTAGTGAGGTAAATTTGTCGGAATAACGAGATCCGCATAATCTTCCCTCTGGGGTACATAACTTGTTCGTGTTTTATGGGTGATTGGGGAATAAGTGGGGGTTGGAGTAGTTTAACGTAACCTTTGTTATGTGGTATGTAATTTAATAACATTTTACATTATTATCCGTAGTCGAGAAATTGAAAAATAATGATACAAATAATGAACGAGTTGTAGATTTGTTCCTTCTTTTGATTTTGCTTATAAAAGCTAATGATAATATGGTACAAAGCAAATATGGATATCATAGTTTCTTTACAAAGTTGTTTTGAAATGTTATAGCTGAAAAAACGTTTTATCGATGAATTTAATATCATAAATATCCAAATATCGACATAGTATACTGGATTAGTAAACTGAAGTGGCAGTTGGCTCGCCATATTAGCCGCAGAACCGACAACCGTTAAACGAGTAAAAAAGTGGAGGGAAGATTTGCGTAAGACTACTGGTAGGAGATCGAAGTGGCGTGCAATGGGGAGGCATATGTCCAGCAGTGGACTGCGATATGCTGATGATAATAATGAAATATAAAAATCGTATATACAATGCATCTATAAAATTTGGATTATTTATAATAATAATAATAACCTCACACATCTCACACACGGCTGTCTGAGCCCAAACTAGGCAGAGCCTGTACTATGGTAACCAGACTGCTGATAAACATACTAATATATTTCTAAATACTGAATTCATATGACAGATAAACTAGAAACAGAGACACATAACAAACGATCGTGATAATCACACAAATATTTGTCCTGGGTGGGAATCGAACCCACGACTTCTGGCTTGGCAGTCAGGGTCACAACCACTTCACTAACAGGCCCATAGATTTCAAACTCATATGTACTTTAAAGAGGTGCACGAAGTCAAAATAATGTAACAACGGCTACATTGTATAAAGTTCTATACAATTGTGGAGGAACGTTTGTCATGTCCCTCCAACACAAAGGGGGGATCCTCCGACCAGGCGAGGTGATCATGCCTGGTGGGCCGCGGCCCAACGGTTGATGTTGGGAAGTTGTATATATGCTAATCGGCGAGGGAATTCTTTATATCGCGATACAGGATTAGCAATTCTTATTTTAGTAGTTACTCCGTAGTTCGGTGTGTCTTCATTAGATGGCGCTGTAGTATGTTTCTGTTTCTTTGTATGTGGGAGTCGCCACACAATGATAGATCAAGTAATACTGGTCAATTCCATAAAAAATACATGAACCAGGAGATTCCTAGTTTATATCAATAATTAGAATACTGATTAAAAAACCTTAAGAGTTAATAAGGATTTTTTGATAAATACTTAATAACATAATAATAAATATACTTATTTATAAAGCTTTTATTCATTTGAAATAATCAATTTAAAGATCCCAAAAGAGACAGAGCCTGTGCTATGGCAACCAGACTGCTGATCAACATATTTATTTATTTCTAAATACATTCATATCAACCATAAATAACATCCAGACATAGAACAAATGATGGTTCTATCACACAATCATTTGTCCTGGGTGGGTATTCACCTCTGGCTTAGCATTTAGAAACCACTAGATCAGCAGACCCGTCAAGAGATAGAAAATTAACCGTTAGATAAACAGAGTTGCCTAAAAACTGGAGAAAGCCAGATACACAAGGGAATACTACGCTAGTACCCGACTGAGTATTTTTATATTGTGTTAAAATTATGGATGTATGTTTAATTATATCTGTGTGTTTATATTTTGTGTATATCTCTGCACTCAATTATGTTACTTAATGTTTAACTTAATGTTAAACTTAATGTTTTATTTTTGCACCTACCGCGTCATATTTCTACATCACCTGAAGGTTGAATGGGAGAGAATGCGTAATGGTATTAAGTCCACCTTTTTACAACATGTGCATTAATTTTATGTAAATTAAAATATACAAATACATCTATTTTATTTTTTATTTCAGGTGTGGCATTGAAACCACCAAAGGTATTCGAGAGCGGCAGAGCCCGCCAGAAGAACATCGGGCCCGTTCTAGCCTTGGCAGCGCTGAAGTTCGGTCTGTTCGGAGCCCTCACTTTCAAAGTTCTTTCCCTCATGGTAGGGAAGGCCCTACTGATTTCCAAGATTGCTCTCCTACTGTCCACGATCATTGGATTGAAGAAGCTATTCTCTTCTCAGGTGAATGACTGAAGCATGATGCATGATTAAATTATTTTTTGATTTCATTTTGGTTGTTTCTTTCTTAACTGTCTTAATTTGCATGTCTCACATGGTGACAGCTTTGTAAGTTCACTTGTATGTATACAAACACTTCACTTTCTTATTTATTTATTAATATGGACATCACGTAATTGCCATACAACAAAAATACAAGAAATTAATGCCATTTGGTACGAGTAATTGGTACAAGATACACGATGACCAGATGGCAAAGTGGTTTGTGTGACAGACTGCTATTCCAAAAATCGCGGGTTCGATTCCCGCTCAATTTATGCAGTTGTGTGCATGAACATTTAATGTTTGATTTGGTCTGGGTTTTTTTATGTATATTTGTTAGTAGTAGTACAAGCTCTGCTCAGTTTGGGACTAGATGGCGTTGTGAGAATTGTAGTAAAAAAAAATAGTTAGAAAAAACTACAAAACACGCTTTTTATGGAAAACCAAACTAAAAATTTGGAAATAAATTTTAATAAATTTGAAAAAAAAGCTGGGGTACTTTTTACTATTGATTTTCAGTTTTTTTAAACTATTTTTTTTTTATTAGTGTATTGTCATCGGTCCTCGATATACCTACAAAGTTTAAAAGAATTCTGACCGTTTAAAGTCAGTCAAAATCACGCCCAAAGGAGTCGGTTACAAACAAACAAACATACAGGTTAAGGTAATAAAAAGCGTGTAAAGAAAACTATTTAAGGAGTCACGCCAAGCGCAAGTAAATGCAGTAGACAGGAGCACATTATGCGCTTAAGCTATATAGAACATAAGTTTTCAAGCGAGGTGACGTTATACACACACAGAGGTATAAGTCAAATTTAAGATTTTATTAAATCTGATACATTGTCCTACCTTAAATTTAAACACATTTAAAACATAAAACAAAAACTTTTTTTTTTAAATGAAAGTCGGATAGAGGACACAACAAAAGTACAGTTACAGTACTTACTATTGACACATGTTTTAATTATATACGAATATATAACGTTTATTATTACGATAAATTAAACACTGAATGACCTGAGAGTCTATATGGCGATGCATATAGTTCATACAAGGCTGTAACTATAGCAAGAAATGTCGGAAAAAAATCTTGTTACAAATTTTTCAGATCCACTCAGAGCGTGTAACTCACGATATGGAAATTCGTTCCAAAATTGTAACTTACCTGACCCAATATTGATGGTTACACCACCGAAACCAAAAAAAAAAATGTATATGTTATTATTGAACTGCAGAGACAGCTGCTATATATAGCGGCCGCCTATATATAGGGGGGCCGTTGGACCCCCTATACCATATATTTTAATAGAAAATGAGACTTAAAGACAATGTCATAAAATTCACTGTTATTCAAATGCGTGTGTTTTACTGAATGATACTAACGATAAACCTATTACCAAAAGTAGCATATATCTCAGGGGAAAATATGACTTACTGATGAAAAGTTAAAATGCATTTTTCTATAAAAACGTATATTGCACACAATGCTTCTCTCAATAAAAATGCTACTACAGTCGCCTCTCCTGATACTGGTGGACTAATCTGGTATTAAAAGTAAAAAAAATACATTTCATTGCATTTTTTAAAACGGTAACCAATTGTTTTGTTTCGGTAAAAGCTCTACAATATGATGAAACCAGCTCATTTGTATGCTCAGCTGCATATTCCCACTGAAATCGAATGCTGCATGTTAATTTTTGCTTTGCACGTCGAGTTTAAGTTAACACTTCATGAAAAGTTTAGCCTTTATTAGTTTAGTGGTACTGGAGTGTCTTTGGGATTTCGATTTTTTAACACTTTTACTTACAGCATGTTCACAATGTAACGGGGTGATGTTATTATTAAAGCAAGCCAGGACGTTTCTAATGCGAAACATCTAATGCGAAGGATCCGACGCGATTTATAAGTAGAGCAAATATAGAGCGCATTCACGTTTTGCTATCCGCTCACTAGTGGCATTCCAACAGTGAACTCTATCCGGAAGTTAGCATGTCATGTAATATCTAACTTGCATGACATAATGTATATACATCGTACGCTCGCAACGCACGCTTATTCATCACCTGTATGACATGGCCTTCAACCTTCACCTGCTTTTCAGTTTCATAAAACATCTTATAGTTATGGCCATAATCCGTGAATGTCTCAGACACAATCCAAATAAACATAGTTATTATAATAACACCACACATCTCACACACGGCCATCCGATCCCACAATAGGTTCTACCTATGTTATGGTAAACCAACTGCTGATAACGTACTTACATATACCTATTTCTAAATAGTTAAATATACATAAAGATCGTGTGGTGACGGATTAAGAATACGGAATGTCACCACCACTATTCATCCCGTGGGTGTCGTAAGAGCCGACTAAGTGAGCAAACTACGCAGGACAACAGCACTGCAAATAGAAGGAAACCTTGAAACAAACCCTATACAAACCCGTCTGGCCAGCGTGGTATAGTAGGCCAAAACCTCCTTTCTAAGGAGTGGCCCAAGTTGAGCAGTGGACTATTATAGGCTGTTGATGATGATGATGAGATAAATTAATTACACCCAGACACAGAACAAAATGATCGTACACATCAAACAATTATTTGTTCTGGGTGGATATCGAACCCACAATCTCTGACTTACCAGTTAAAATTCAAGTTATGGGAATCAATTATATTTATTGGTAAAAGGTATTTATTTTGCTGATGCTTATGATGCTGTAAGCGACAAAATTACGATAGAACGTTGTATATGAGAAACTGTTCATCCTTTTAAATCCTCTTGGAATGAAAAAATATGTTACTGAAAACGTGACTAAACCTCTAAGTACAAAATTATATTTGGGTATTTTTAAAGGATTAGATTTAGAATAAATGTGAGTATTGAAAATTTATTATATTTTCTTAAAAAAACTCGCTTTCACATCCTTACTAATACCAAAAATGGGAAATGAGTTTGTTTGTTTGTTACGCTAGCACGCCTAAACCGCTAAACCGATTTTACCTTATTATATTTTATATTATTTTACTTTCACCACTAGAAAGCTACATTATCAGACAGTAACATAGACAAAAGCTTATCTTTAATATAAGTATGGATGTTTATCAGTAGTCTGCTTACCATAGTACAGGCTCTGCCTAGTTTAGGACGATAGGATAGTTTAGGAGACGTGAGAAGTTATTTTTATTAATTATTAAGTGAGCAAAGCTGGGTCAAGAGCTTTTTTTTATCAACATATTAGTATTTTAACGGACTTTTAAAGTGAAACTTCTTTACGCACGCTTGACTTGGGGAGTAAGCTGGTGAATGCGTGACGAAACCATTACGAAAAGTGTGATAATTGGAAGTCGAGAGAGCGATATAAGTTAGTTAAGATAGAAAGAGAGAGAGTTACGTTTATAAGTGATATATTACTGTATGGGCAATAGAGAGAGGTGCAAGCACACATTTTCTTTCTCCCTTTCTCTAATAGCTAAGAAGTTTTAGTTTAGTTTCAGTCGTGTGGTCCAAAGCACACTCGTTTTTTTTTTTGTCGAATAATTTTACTGTCTTAATAAGAAAATCAAATTACTGTATTTCTTCCAAATTTATTTTAAACCAAAGCACTTAGCTAGAAAAATAATAAATTTAAAGCTTTGCAGAAAATAAAATAGTTACTTTTAAATTCACGGCACGATTTAAGAAAGTAACAGGTTCATAGCAATTTAGGTTCAATTTAAATTTTCTTAGAATTTTTATTTTTATTTTAGTTAAAATAAATTTGTTAATATATTTAGATTTGATCAAATTTTTATGATAGAGTAGTGGAAACGAGCAGACGGGTCGAGATGGTAAATGACTACCGTGCACCAATGAACACCTGCATATCTAGAGTCACAAATACGTTGTCACCCATTCAGTCCCTTCCCCTAGAATTAGGGGGAGGGTTAGGGCGGGCCAACCTTACTAAGTCGGTGAAGAGCATTGATACAACTTCTTAACAACAGTTTTCTGTGAAGCCGTGGTATCACTCCGGTTTAGGTTTTCTTACATGTGTTCTGAAGCATAGTTGTCTCACTGTTGCATGAAAGTAGATTTGTTTTAGCTGCCTCGGTGGCGCAGTGGTAGCGAATGCGACTGCTGTGCTGAGGTCTCGGGTTCGATTCCCGGGTTTAAGGGTGTTTTCTATGTATAATATATATTTATTAAAAAAAAAAAACAGTATATAAGTATTCTATCAGTCAATTTAACTTTCATAGTACAAGCTCTGCTTAGTTTAGAATCAGATGTGTCAGATGTCCGAATATTATTATTATTTGTTTGTTACGGTTCACTGTTTAATTACTGAACTGATGATTAACCACCCTTATCTAGGGGGACTATCGCACTTACCTATGTCCAAAGTTGTTGGTGTCCATGGGCGGCGGTAGTAGCTTACCATCAGGTGACCATCAAAAATAAATGGCGAAGCTTAAATATTTTTACACATTACACATATTATTTCATTCAAAAAAAGAGAAGGAGAGAGTACCACTTCCTACAGGAATCTACTATATCCTGTTTCCTCCACTCTAATAAAATCCATAAATCAAACAGATGATTATTACCAATAGGCAAACGACGGCTTAAACTTTCATAAACGGCAAACGTAACATCACCGTTATATTTACCACAGAAAGCGTTTATCTGAAAATACTTTACCAATATCCATTTTTATTGAGTCGACGAGATTTTCCATATCCTATTTGCATATGAACGTATGCAACACAAATATGTAAAGAGTTCAGAAGCCAAGTTCAAGTCAACAAGATGTTGAGAAAAGTACTGTTGTGGTCAAAAGCTGAATAACTTATAAAATTTACTTGATCAGGAGGACATAAATATCTTATCATCAAAAAAATCATCAACAGCCTATAACAGTCCACTGCTCGACATAGGCCTCTCCTTAGAAAAGAGGTTTTGACCTACTATACCACGCTTACCAGACGGGTAGTA